TGACTGGCATAAAGCTACATCCTTTTGTTTAACTTATAAATCAAGTAATTTAAAAAATCCTTGTAATTTTTGCTTAATTACAAAAGACAATTTTGCAGAAATAAATTTATCAAAAAGTAATATAATAATCTGGAATCATAAAAATATGAAAGAATTGTTTCAATCAAATCTAATAAAATCAGTATAAATAGAAAATATTAATAATTTTTTTTGATGTATTCTATAAGTTTTTACAGTTTTTATAGATAATTTATTATTATAGACTAAATTAATTTTTATTAATTTATAGTAATATAAATATACAGTATACGAAGCAACTGTATCCAATAGAATGCATTATCTTGAATTGTTCCTTTTCCCCAATTGTTTTTCCTCTTTCCCTTTTTTAACTTAGCAATTCATTGGTTTTTGAACAATTAACAGTAACAAACTGTTAACAATGATTCTGATAGATAGAGGTTATTACCAATCTATTGAGGGAGTGTAATATTATTCCCAAAATCTGACTTAGAGTACTTTTGTATAAAAACGTATTAGTCACATTGTGAAGTCTGTAAAATATTGTAGATTTACTTCAATTTTTCAATAAAGACAAGCCATTGTGACATGATTGCAGATTAAAAAAAAAAAAAAAACAAAAAAAAAAAAAAAAACAAAAAATTTTAGAATATATTAATAAAAATTTTTTTAAAAAAATATAAGAAATAGAATAAGTATTAAGGCATAATATATATAAATTTTATAATTTTTAACTATATATTTAAGGATTTAAAAATTGGCAAAGTTGAAATTTATTATAAAAATATAGTAAGTGGACTCAAACTTTTGGAAAAAACCATATAAGATAATATGCAAGTTTTGAAATAATTTAAATTTGGCTATTTTATATTATTCATAAATTTATATTTTTGTTGAATATTTTTTGACAAAAGACTAATTGATAAACTAGAATGTTTATTAAAAAAACAAATTATTTTATTTCCAGTTGAAGTACTGAAATTATTTTTTAAAAAAGTGTTATTAAATCCACATATGCTTCATAGAAAACTTATTAAAGGTGTCTTCAGAAACTTCTGAAGAATCATAACTATCTAAAGAATCTTTTAAAAAATTAATATCATAAGAATCTTTATTTGAGGGAATATTATTTTCAAGAAAGCTAATATATTTCAGAAAACTCTAAAACAATTAAATATAAATTAATAAATAAACATTAAATAAGTAAATAAATATTATTGAATATCTTTGAAATACTTTTTACATTTTCAAATGATTTTGAAATGGTTGGAAGTTCTGACTCATTTAAATCATTATTAGATTCACTACTCGAGTCTACAATCAATATATATTTGCTTATATACTTTGTATAAGAGGAATGCATGAAAACTTATGTTGACAAAATTGACATTTGTAATTTATTATAAAAAACTTTGAAGAACTTCAAAATACATAAAATTGATAAAAAAAATACTGATTAATTTTAGCCAATCAAAAATTTAATTTATAAGTTGTTATAATTTTGTCAATATGATTTTAATATTATTTCATTTTTTAAAGTTATAAAGTAATTTTTAAAAGGTGACTAATAATTGCATGTGATCATAATATAATATAACTTTTTGAAATTTGTATTATATAAGGTCTTTAAAGTCCTTTCTTTTTTATTAATGTCAAATAAAAGAAAAGAAATGTGTAACATATTTCAACAAATGATTTCAAGTTCAGGCTTTGAAAAATGACAAGGAAGTATTTCAAAGCCCTCCAAAAAGCCCAAGAGTACTTCCAGTACCCCAGATCAAGCTGAAAAATGAAAACTAACACCTCATGCTGAAATGAAACAGAACTATCCTGAAAATAATTAATATCCTCCAGTTATTTTCTAGAATTTTTATATATTAGGAAATTGTCTGAAGAATATTTAGATATATAAAAAAAGATTTAACTATTTAAATAAATACTAATTTGTATGTTTAGTTTCTAATATAGTAATCAAGAGAATTTTGGAGTTTCATGAAAGTCTTCATAAAAAATTAATCAATTATTAGAATGTCAAAAAACCATTGAGGATAAAGTTACCTGCCTAGAAAATAAAATTCACACAAATCAACATTTAATCACTGAACAGGATTTTATTAAGATAAGGTTTAATTTTTTAATCTTCGAAGAACTTCAATAACATTTTAAATTCTATAATAGCATATGATCAAGAGTATCATGAAAAAAGTCTTTTTAAAAAAATATACATGAATCCTGAAGATTTTTGCTAGCATATAAAGAAATATTTTTAGCAAGAATATTCAAAGTTTTTTAAAGGTCTCACAATAAAATATTAGAAATCATATTATGAAAAGCATATTCACCAAAGTGATAATTATTGCAATTATTAATAGTATAAATAAATTTATTAACAATTTTATTTATTTAATAGCTTGTGAGACAACACAAATCATTTCATGGAACCATGGCTTCAAAAATCTAGAATGTCATGTTTTCAGTCTTTGGCAAAAATTCCTTGGATACAATCAATATAAATACAACTGCTATCAAAATTATGGCTTGGAAAAATTCACAAAAAATGCTGGTATACTTTAAAAATCTTTATGTCTATTCTAAGGGGAAAAACCAAAGCGTGATGACACTTATTCTCGAAAAAGTCTGACCAAAAGGGGATGTCTTTAAGAAACAAGTTGTATTCGCTATCACAATATATCAAATGATTTTAAATCCACATAATGAAAGTATTTTAATCAATGAAGTATTAATTAAAAGCAAAATAGAAAAAAATAAGATAAGTTTTAAATTTTTCAAAGTATTATAGAGTTATTTGTTTACTAATAAAATATTTTAAAAAAAAATAAAAAAGAAAATCAGATTTACAGAAGGCAATTCAAGTGATAAAGATCAAGAAATATATGAGCAAAAAGATATTGAATTTCAAAGTACTCTAGAGAAAGTAGAAAAAGATAAATTTCTTAAATATTCTTTTTAAAGTCTCACAATTTAAAAATAATCAAGTTCTACAAGTATTATAAAGTTAAAAGTATTTCAGTCAAGAAATTCCTTTCAAGAAAAGATTATTGAATGAATTAAAAAATTTTTTAAAAAATCTTGAATTAACAATTTATTGTTTTTTGAGATAATCAATAATAATAAGCTATTAGCAATAATTCTAGTAGTTAGAGATCAAGTATTAAAATATTATGGAAGTGCAACATTGTTTCTTAAATCTAACTTAAAATATTATGAAATTTAATTTTTTTAGCTTCTCATATTTTTTAAGTAATGAAATCCTTTAACTAATAATGTACAATGATGAGTTAATCATCATGTGAAAGTCTGCAACCTATTAGATATTCATTTAATATCTCAATAAAGACAAGCCATTATGACTTGATTGCGGTTAAAAAAAAAAAGAAAAAGAAAATAAATATACTGTATAGTGTAAGATTCAAATTTATTATTTATTAAATTTATTTTTTTGATGTTATTAATCCCTGCGGTTATTGTAAGGAATCACAATCCCGTTTATAAATAATAACACTAACTCGATAACATCCATTATCTAGCATTTACGAACATCGAGATTTCCGATTTTGTTCAACTATGCGCTGTATTATTGATACCCTCTAGTTACATGAGATTTAATTTCTTTTGTCATCAATGTCTATTCAAACATTTTACTATATGCTTTTTTGGCAGCCTTCTCCCTAGCCAAAATTTTCTGCTTTGCATTGTTTAGTTCTTTCAAAATAGCTGCGTCATTTGGATTTAACTGAGAAGCCTCTTTTAGGTCTTTTACAGCATCTTCTTCGTCCTTTATGCCAACTTTCGCGCATCCCCTTCTATACAAAGCTTTGGCTTTATCCGTTGCAGACAAAACTTCCCCAGGCATTTCCAACACTGAGTTAGTAGCCTCTATTGCATCCTTCCAGGTTTGTAATTTTAACGCACAGGCTGCTTTGTTAAGAAAGCATGGAATTTTTAACGCGTAGATTGTTTCATCTTTGATATTTTCAGATTCACCAATTTCATCTATATAACGGATAGCCTTATTTAAAAATAAATTTATTAAAATACGAATATATCAAAAATGGACAGATTTTAATTGAGAAATATAAATATGTTACCTTCGTGTACTTTCTGATAGAAAGTTCGTATTCTGATTTCTTAAAATGGTCATTGCCAATTTCCTTTAATTTCCGAGCAATTTCAAGGTAGTCTTCTGGTTTCAACTCTCCAGAATGGTCCTCTATGTGTTAAGTCAACAGATATTTAAAAAAAAACAGAAACAACGATTCTAATGGTGTAAAAAGAATGGACCAGAAAGTTACCAGGCCAATCCTCATAAATATCTCCGTCAGCTGGCTCGCTTATTCCAAAATCATCTCCTTCCTTTAATTCTCCACAGTCGACAATTTTGACAGTCTTTATTGGTTTATCGTTGGCGCCCGTTGGATTATTTTCAATCGTACGAACCACTGACCTGCCCTTTATCACCTTACCGAAGACGACATGTTTACCATCCAAATGCTCGGTCTAATTTCATATTCACAGTTAATCAACAATCACGATTTTTCAGGCCTTCACATTTAGCTACACTGATTTCTTACTTTATTTGTAGTAATAAAAAATTGTGAACCATTCGTATCTTTCCCAGCATTCGCCATGGATAGGAGGAATGGTTGATCATGCTTGGTCTCGAAATTTTCGTCTGGTTAAGTAAATTAAACCGAACCAGATGATGAGATAAATATATTATTATCGCAATAAATACATACTGAATCCCATCACCTACCTTCAAATCTTTCACCATAAATACTTTCACCACCGGTGCCATCACCTTTGGTGAAGTCACCTCCTTGACACATAAATCCCTATTTTTTTTTATTTTTTTTTATGGAATGATGAATAATCCGCGGTAAAACGATTAGTATTCCTATTTGAAAACATACCTTTATCACACGATGAAACGTAGATCCTTTGTAATGTAATACGCCGCCCTTTTCTCCTATCGATTAATTCCCATATCAATACGGAATACATCAATTCATTACACATGGACTATCAAGAACCTTGTTGTTTACCTGTACAAAGGGCACGAAAGTTTTCCGCAGTTTTGGGAACTACATTATCGAACTATTCACGGAATGCATGTTAGTATCGACACAAAATTGATATCGTAAAGTAGTAAAGGAGTATTTATTGCTCACCAATTCAAAAACAATTCGCCCTTCGCGTTTGTCATCAATGTCGATATCGAAGTAGGTTAAGATTGGCATCTTTTAGAAAATTTAAGTATTCTGGAAGTGAGAATTAAATTTATACATGTACATATCACATGAACAAAAATCCGTTAGAAAGTACCAGAAATTTCAAGATAATCGGTGATCGACAAATCAGTAATGATTGAGTTTCCAATATGGTAATATCCCTAAGACGATTGCACGGTTTTTTTGTTCATTCCCGAGATTTTGAAAGATGGTTCAAAATGTCTTTATAGTAGCAGCTAAACGTATGTGACGCAATGTTACTATCATAATAGTGTTATGTCTTTTTGGTATTAGGGATTAAAATTTTTTTATTTTCGTTGCATTAAACAATGAAGGAACGGCGTTTGGAGCATTCGGAGGCTCCTTAAAAGGATACACAGGTATAACAGCGAACACTATAGAACAATTTCATGCATTTCCAAATAATCGTAAATTTCTAAAACTAGAATTCAAAATTTAAACTGAAAGCCACCGAATTGGGAGCCTTTGCCGCAAAAGCCGCGATACAAAGTCTCAACAAGACCGTTCCCATTGACTCGGTGATATTCGGGAATGTATGCCAGACCGATACTACATGTGCATATTTAGCTCGTCATGTTGGTCTCAGAGCAGGCCTGCCAATAGAAACCCCGGCCTTAACTATAAACAGACTGTGTGGTTCTGGTTTTCAAGCTGTTATTAGTGCCGTCCAAGAAATTCGCACCGGAGATTCGAATATCGTTTTAACTGGTGGTACAGAAAATATGAGTCAATCAGGCTATAATCTGTCGGCTAGCATTAGGTGGGGGACTAGATACGGTAGCGATCTGAAACTCGAGGACTCTCTTGCTGCCACGTTGATAGATCAATACCCGACCAAAACTCCCATGGGAGTTACGGCCGAAAACCTGGCTAAAAAATATAATATTACACGCGAGGCAGCCGATGAATATGCATTGACAAGTCAAAAACGTTGGGATGCCGGTTGGTCTTTTTTATCCATATGGAGATCGTATGATTTGTTTGATATAAACAATCATTGTTGATTTGTTTGTTCTATATGTAGCTAATTCTGCTGGCCGTTTTCACGATGAAATAACGCCTGTTGAAATCAAGATAAAGAATGGAACAGTGTCATTTAATAAGGATGAGCATGCTCGACCTCAAACAACGGCCGAACAATTAGCCAAATTACCAACGGTGTTCAAAAAAGATGATGGCGTTGTGACGGCGGGTAATGCTTCCGGTATAAGCGACGGTGCAGGTGCAATAATTGTGGCCAGTTCACATGCGGTGGAAAGTCATGGGTTAAAGCCCCTTGCGCGTATAGTTAGCTATCATGTTTCCGGGGTTGAACCTACGATCATGGGGATTGGTCCTGTACCTGCCATCAAGGGTGCTTTGCAAAAGGCTAAATTGAATCTTTCAGACATTGGTTTAATTGAAGTGAACGAAGCATTTGCACCTCAGTATCTTGCTGTAGAAAAAGAATTGGGATTGAATCGCGAAATAACCAACACGAATGGCGGTTAGTGTTTCATTAATTGTATCATCACTTCGTTGTGCTTTTATTTTTAATCCTTATTCACCAATGTCAACTTCTTAGGTGGTAAGCATCTACCTTAACTTATTTTAGCAAAAATTCGGATTATTGTTAATTTTCCCTATTCCAGCTATTGCTCTTGGACATCCTCTCGCCGCATCTGGTTCACGCATTCTAGGCCATTTGACATACGAACTTCGAAGAACCAATATACAATATGCAATTGGTTCTGCTTGCATTGGTGGTGGTCAAGGTAACCTTCTTCCTTAATTTTTCATATAATGTCATGAAAATGCTCAACATCCATTCACCTTTAGGGATTGCCATAATTATTGAAAGGGTCTAATACAGGTGTGAAAATATTCATTGAACGGAACTGATCTTGAAAATATTTTGATGTCTGTAAAGTTAACATATCATGTTTTTGTTTTCTTGAACGCTAATCGATTGCTTTATTCTATTTCCCTGATACAGGCATATGCAACATACAGTATACATACGAACAAATGATGAGGACCACACATGAAGATAGCGGTTTTTGAATTAAATACAACGCAATTATAAGATCCATTTGGTAAATTACATGCATAGTTATAGAAATGAACAAAGCACAGCCTCGAATGAATCTTACTTTCCAGTTGGACGAAAATAAAATGGTAAAAACGATATTTGACCATCTTCCCATATCTAAAATTGTTCGAGTGTGAATTAACCTCAATAATTTGTGAAACAGTATAATGAAATGAAATGCAATGTCATCACAAACCAAACTCAACAATGCGCCTTTCATAAAATGCTTTGCGAAAGCTACCGAGACAGCTTTAGGATCAGGCCGATTTAGAAAAGCACCTATGTCATCGGGATCGTGCCAAGATGGTCCCCTCATTATTCCTTGAGCATTCAATAAACTCGAACCTCTTGACACAAGTGTTGGCCGCTTGGCATGAAACACGACTAATAATGGTGTATCTTTAAAGCATACAACGAGACGTTCTCCGGTCGGATCAATCGCCAATTGTTCCACCATTTTTCCGGTGCTAATAGGAATTAAATCGTAAATCTTTCTGCACTCCTACTAGATTAGACCGATGAACATTCTTATTGAAATTACCAATCTGGAATATATGACATGTGTTCTTCGGGAAACCATTCAGAGTCTAAATTTGGGGAAATCGAAAGAGTACGAATGCATTGATCCCCTCTGAATGCCAGGAATAAGGCACGACCATCAAATGTCCAACATGCTGTCTAAAGAGATGAGAACGAGCTTTAGTATATATGCATAAGTTAATTAAGAGAATCATATAAAATAATAATAACGATATAACCTGAATGGGACACCGAAATGGAGTTGGTGAAGATATAACCTTTGAGGTCCATCTTTGAGTTTCCCACACCTCAATTTTACCGTCGCTAATCCAAAAAATTTGTAATGGACCTTTTAATAAAAGATAATTTTGTAAAAGTCCAAGTGAACCCAATTACGCTAATCTTACAGAAAAGATGCTAGCAACAACTCTCCAACAGGACTCCAGCTCAAAAACGCGATTTTACGATTGGCTGTTAGTGGCATTCCGCTTCCAAACGAAGTGTTCCATAGAACTATTGAACCACCTGCCGATCCACTTGCCAAATAAGTTCCATCGAAAAGAAAAAAGGAATTAAGGAATCACTTAATAAAGCAAAGCAATAATTAAACAATCAATATGATTAAAGGATATTATCCATGCGGGTGCCACGCAATCGAAACTATATTATCGTGTCCGGGATAATTAACGTAACGCATCCACGCATTGAAACTAGATGTCCCATTGTTTGAAATCTTCTTCTGTTCAAGTGATAACTCCCATAGACAAATACCAAGCCTTAAAGCATGTGACGTTAGATTTAATAATAGATAATTCAAAAAAAAAAAAAAAAGAAAGAAAAAATGATAATAATGAAACACACCTACTTGCAACCAACAGCCAAAATGTTTCCACCCAATGGCTTCCATGACATACATGTAATGTCTTTCTGCAAAGCGGTCTCTAAAACTTCCGGAAACCATTCTTCGACACGTAAATCATGTAGAAAAATGACGTCCGATTTATGTGCCACCGCAAATATTGAAACATACGGATGCCACGCGAGTATTTTAGCCGGGTACCTTTTTAACTCGTTGCATAGTGAAAGCATGTAACGTTGTGTATCGATGTTAAATATAGGTTTAGACAAAAAATCAGGCAAAAATCCTGAAAGTGATTGTCCTAACGCGCTTATTAGACCTTGAGCACCATGAAAAACCTCGCTATAAAATGATTCTGTTACGACCTAATAAATATTAATGTAAAATTAAGGACTAAGAAGCAACTCTTACGTGAACAACACGAGACCATTCCGTAACCCGCCATATAAGGAATTTCGTGACGGCAAGGCTTTGACGATTACTCGACTTCCACGGTGGTAAGCGTCCGGGTGAATAAGGTTGGCCGGAATTTGTAGTTGTTGAAACAAAACACCCTTTTGAATAGAACTAATGAATGACCGAATCCTTATGCACAAATTTTATTTGTTGTACTCACCCCAGCACGAAAATAGACATCGATGGTAGGGTCTGATGCATTCTTTAGTTGTACTATATAAAACGGGGTGACGTTAGAACGCGAGGGTGAATAATACACGAATTTACGTGGACTTACATAGTTGTCCTTCGACTTCTGCGAATGTTACCTCGGTGAGGCTAGGTGCATAATGAATAACTGATTATGTATGAACATTAATAGCCTTGCTTGATGCATTTGACTTGAATTCGCTAACAACTTACCTGAAGTCTGAGAAGCCATCGTGCGTATTCAGTATTTGAACTAAGTATTTTTATAAGTGATAATTGCAAAGTTCCAAAAATAGAAATCACATATTTAACTATTTTATTTATCTATTTAATTTTTTATGTAATTTTTAAAAATCTATTATTAATTTATATAGACAATATATAATATTACAATATTGCAATAGTTGCATTTATGATTTGTGTAATTACATATTTAAGGTATCTAATTTACTACCTTGTACTCAAAAGCATTTATGGAAGAGAATTCATCTCTGCAAAATAACGACATTGGTGAACATGAAAAAGAGCACGAGGAAACGGGTCAAGAACGTAAAGGGCGTGAAGATAAATACGCACAAGACGAGGCGCGCCAACAAGCTCTTCAAGAACTAGAACTTGAAGACCTCGAAAAACGCCTGGAAAGTATTGACATCAATAATATAGAAGAACGGGAAATACTTGAAAAAAATATTACCGAAATAAAGTTAAAACTTCAAGAATCAAATGAACGCCGAAGTTTGCGTGAAGATGAGTTGAGAAGAAGACTTTTAGAACAAGAAAAAGAAAATGCAGAAATCGAGGCGAGACTAAGAGCAGCTGAGATACGAAAAATAGAGCTTGAAAATGCTGAGATCAAAGCAAAACTCGAGGCAGCCACTAAAAGGAGGATGGAACTAGAGGCGTTACTGAAAGAAGCTAGAGAAAATCAAGATAACTAAGAATCGGATGATTTATTTACTTAATTTATATTGACATGAGTTACTTTAACAAAACAACGAAGTCATTAAATAATCTTAATTCGATATTAATATGAGATATTTTTTGTAGATGATTTTCACCTGATTCGGAAAGAATCTAATATTTTTTTTTTGAGATTCATAAATCTCTCATACGTAATAACTAGTTCAAACTCCGTATAAAAGAAGCCCAATCAAGGAATTGTTTGAATCAGATATAAATAGGAATTCAAAGTTTGGGCCCTGAATTCATACACTGACTGATTCACTTGTATTGGATGCGAAACAATAGTTATATAACAATTTATAAGAGAAGCCCTAGGCATTATTCACTAAGCAACTTTGTAAAAAAAAAATGAAAGTGACAAACTCGGGAAGTGAACAGGAAGGAAATGTTACAAATGAAATTCCTCCTCCGTATGTACAAAACGTAACTGTGCCTACTGCCGCCCATGTAGGTCAAGAAGTGCATCAAACACCAATAGTCCATCAAGGGTCAAATGTACAAAGCTCAGCCTCCACCGAAATCCCTCCTCAAGGAATCACAGCACCCTCCTCACCGGTTACAAGTCATCAAGAACCATCTATGAACTCTGCCATTCTGGGTATTCCTCCAGCACAAACCATCACAGAGATTCGTGTGATCCAACAGCCCGTCAATACACATTGCCCACATTGCAATAATTACGTAGTCCCCATAGTTAATGAGGTTCCTGGATCGGCCACTTATTGTTTCACTATTATCTTGTGTTGCTTGTTCTGGCCACTCGCATGGTTGCCATTTTTCCTGCCGGGTTGCTTGGATAAAGTTTATCGGTGCCCACTTTGCAATAATGTAATTGCCATCATTAATGTTTAGTACGTTGTTTACTTAATCCCGACTGCTGTTAATTACTTTGAAGATAGAGGTATAATTTAATAATATAAAAATTGACAAAATATTTTGAAATTTTTTATAAAAAATTTTGCCTTTTTAAATTCTGTCGAACAAATACAATTTTTCATATATTGTACATTCTTATATATTTTAAAAATTTATAAATAAAAATTAAATAGTAAATATTTTAAATAAAATCATTCTTTAAAAAATTTTTTTTTTTGAAATTTAAGCATTTTTATATAAACATGTAAACAAGTATATTTTAATTATTGAATCAAAAGAATTTAAATTTTTTTTTTTTTTAAACCCTCTGTCAGGCTAGTTATGTGTGCTTTATTAAACAATTGTAAGCTGTACATATAGTAT